TGGACTTGTTCTAGCTGCTCCAGGTCTCTCTAGTGTTGGGGGCTTCATTTATCTACATTCTGCGGAACTCATTGTGAAATATGCAAGAGTGCAAGGAAAAAAGTTTAAATAAGTGCTTATATGCTTTTTTGCCCCAAAAGCTATGCTGAAAAATAGCAATACAAAAGAGAAATATTGAAGAAAAGGCAGCATCCTGTAGAAAGAGAACATTTGGGTGGGAAAAAGCTATTTAATCTTACTGAAGTGTATTTTTTGGTCTTTGTAGTACCACAATGGGTTAAGAAAATTATCTTCACTTGTTTTAGTATAGATCAAATAGGGGCTACAGGAAGCATTTATTTGGACTATGAAAAAAACTTTGATATTTAACTAGGTAAGATGGCTAATTGTCATTAAGTAAATGATAGCCAACATAAGTCGCCAGTCAGTAACTGAGTGGGGAGAGTGATTGAAGAATCATTCAGTCATTTATCCTAATGTATTTAAATTTATTTTTTTTTTAAAAAAAAAAAGGTTGATGAGGTTGCAGAAGGCTCTGTAGTGTGACATTGTTGAGGGTCCATATGAACTGCCTGGAAATGGTGATAAAATAAAACTTGCAGAAAACAAACAGAAAAATAAGTTACTCAGATTTAGGGATAACACCTTGTAAGCTCGGAAGAACCTAAGAAAACAATTTATTTGATCAGTGCATTGATAAATGTAGCTCAGAGCTGATAAGTGGAAAAAACCTTTCCCTTAGTGTGGAAGCTTTAATAGTTAGTGTTGTCAGCTTGTCTTCTACACTTTTTTTTCATGGCTTCTTTCTGTTGTGAATTTTCCTGGTAATCCATTCATAACTATGTTAAATCTGAATTGAAATTTCAGTTAAGCCTGGATTTCTGTCAAGGGCTACCATTAATCAGGCTTTGAATCGTAGAGAAGGGAGGTGAGCATGAACTCGCTTTAAATGAAAACTGTTTTGCTTACTATGAATAATCTTTGGATTTAGGCTCTTTATTTGAGTTTTGGGGCATCTTTAGTCATCAGACTTGCACTGCAGTATGAGATGGGTAGACAGGCTCTGGGTGAATGAGAGAACACATTCTAGTAAAATTATTTCTTTGATTTGTATTTATTTTTTTTTCCAGAGAAAGCAAAAATGTAGCTGAGTTTAAATATATTTGAGTTGAATGTGGCCTGCTCACTTTAGCCATGAGGCACTTCCCGTGTGGTTTTATACTTAAATGAAATTCAATTTTGCTCTGAAGCTCTGCATTATTGGCAAAGTCAATCCTTTGTTCTTCATGGTTTTTTCCAATCTAGTGCTTGAGGAAGTTTCTCACTTTATGCAGTAGAGGTACAGCAGAAAAACAATATTTAAAAAATAAAGAGTGGTTTCATAATGAGAGGCAACTCTGAGCTCTCATGAGTGCATCCCATCTGGTCCCATGGACTGGTGTATGTCATCACTTCAGACTTTCCTACCAGCCTAAGGGGCCTGGGATTCCTGAGGGCAAATATTGCAAAGCAGGCATTGAGCACCTCCTGGAGCCCCTCAAGTCATCTCGAGGACTCAAGCTCTGTTTTATTGAGCTGCATTTACTGTTGTGGTAGGTGTCAGAAATGGATTAAATGATCAGTTTTGTTTATTTGGGTCTGGGGGTTATTTTCTCACCTAACACATTTTTATCCCAAGTAGTTTTTCTTGGAAGGGTCTGGAAAGGACACTGATATTTTCATCATCACCCAGCAGTGGCTCTGCTGTGTGTCTGTATGGCAGTCTGTCCAGCCCAGAGTTCTTTCCCAGTAATGCACAAAACTGGACTTTTTGGAGGAATGAATGAGAAACCAAAACTGATCATTCCTTACCCAACTATTAGTCTTGTGGCATAAAATTTAGAGCCCATCAAATTCACATAATTAACTATGAATATTCTTGTTAAATAGAATTAACTTTTTGTTAGATAATCCTTTAAAAAAATCTTTCCAGTTTCTTGGTTTCAGTTGTATCAAGAGATGGTGAGTTCCACTATACTGTTTTCTTTTCTACTGACAGTGGTGTTCCTTGTATACCCAATGCTTTTTTTAGTTTCATTGACTATATTCTTAGTTTTTGTACAATGTGAATAACACCATCTTATTCACCTTTTCCTATTCCATTTATTATTCCTCTTTCCTGCAGCATTTTCTGTGCGTTTTTTCTTAATTAAATCACACCCTTCTCCTTCATGTCAATCATTGCATATCCCTGATCACTCTTTGTCATCTGTCTCTGCCCATCTTTTTATAAATATTGTTATTAATCCTGTCATATTTAATAAGAAAACATACTGATTTTACAAATTGATTAAATCTTTAATTATTTTTCTGTGCGAGTTTATGCATCCTCTATGAGTTCTCACAATGTGGCATATTTATGTAAAAGAGTTTGAGTTATAATTCCAGTTTTTAACAAAAAGCATTTAAAATGTTCTTTATGGGCACATTAATCCTTCATGTATCTAAACTACTTCTAGCTGCCTATTGATGCAGGAAAAACATGTCTGTTGCTTGGTTTCTAAGGTACTTTATTTATTTATTTATTTAAAGTGCTGGAAAAGCAGAAGGTAAGAAAGATAAATGAGATTTAAATTAGAGGGAAGCCTAATACTCAGGGAATCTTGGCATCAAGTGTTTATTTTTACATCTTCTTTGTGGTTTTAGAAAATCAGACTGCAGTGTTATAGTTCTTTCAATAGCACAACATTTCATAGTCAGTATTGCAACTGATATTTTTGGTTATTGAGTGCTTGGCTATGTCTGGATTTTACTGTAGTGGAGAATTATAGGAAAAGTTACTGTCCCACTTACTAAAAAAAAAATATTTCTTTTCTGTTGCAGTGTAAGACTTGCTCAGAGCCAAAACAAATGACCAGTTCCTCTGCTATCTATAACAACCCCAACCTAATCAAACCAATCCCAGTGAAGCCTAGTGAAAACCAGCATCAACGAACATCTCAGCAAAGCAAGGTAAAATGTTCTGTGTGTTTTCTGACTAGTGCTGCTGTAATCCAGTAACCATGTAGGAATATTTTCTTGAGTCAGAAGGTCAGTGCAAAAATTTGAGGTGGAACCAAAGTAAGGAATTATTTTAATGAAAAACTAATCTCTTTTCTAAAAAGCCCCTATCTCCTACCATATGATGTGGAAGCATGTAAATTACAGACCTACTGTTCTGATGGAGCAAAGAAATGCTAGTCTTTCCATTTTCAGATGCTGCTTTGATCACAAGCTGGTCTAGTCAATTGCTGGACCACATTTTTTGTGTTCTTTTTCTTTAGGTGAATTCAGTTAACCTAAATAAAGAAAAATCTCTTGATATTACCTTCAAGCTAAATCACACTGCAAAATCCTAAAAACTGAATTCAGCTGTGACAGGGAGATGCACAAGAAGTGGCCCTGCTTCACACAAGGGGAGATTTCTGTCTCTAATATTGTCCTGATGGCTGAAACGGGAGATGCTCTTTCACGGTATTTGAAGTGAAGCTACTGCTACCTCTCAGACTCACTGGTTTTCTCCCACATTAGCAGCTTGACAACTGTCATCTTGCCCTTCCTATGTGACAAAACTGTTAAAAATGCTCTTGGGAGAAAAGAGCATAGCAGTTCTCTCAGCTTTTCCTTGAATAGTGCTGGATAAATATTGTTGCCGCTTAATGTAACTTCTGCATGAGAGAACTCTTATTTCCTTTTTTTTCCTTTGTCCCCTCACAGAATGTGGATCCTGAACCACAGCACTTGTCTTTGACAGCACTTTTTGGAAAACAAGAAAAGCCAGATGTCTCAGAACCACTTAATAAACAGCATCAAGAGAATCTTCCTGTTAGGCAAGGTGTGGTACGTTCACTGTCCTACGAAGAACCTAGCAGGCATTCGCCCTCTGCAGAGAAGCAGCTTTGCCCTGCCATTCAGAAGCTTATGGTACGTGGGACAGACCTTCATCCACTTGCTGAGTTTCCTGAGAACCGACTCTGTGAAAATGGCAATATCCACCCTGTGGGTGAGACACTCACAGGACTCTTCCAACCTGTGACTTCTCATGGTATTGCAACATCTCATGTAGTTCAGGATACTGCTGGCACTCAGAGCTTATTACAGAAATTACAGGGGCAATCAGTGACTAAAAGGGACCCCAGTGCAACAGGATCTGTGAACTCGACAGCTTCTTTTTTTTCAGCAGGACTCCTGCTGCTGTTGGAGCACCAGCAGCACCTGTGAACAACATGAGCCAGCCACCTTTGGTGTATTTCAATGGTTCCCTACCAGGCCAGACCTTAGAGTCTCAGACCCTTGGTAAAGAACAATCTAAACTTCCTAGACAGACACTTTCTCTCTCTGGCAATCAAGCAGCTAATTCTGGGGTGATTTCACCTCAAGAGCTACTGAAAAAACTCCAGATAGTGCAACAAGAACAACAGTTGCATGTATCCAGCAGACCGACCTTGGCAGCTAAGTTTCCTGTTGTTGCTCAAAATACTAATACACTGAAACCACTTGATTCCTGGATAGAAAAGGCACCGGCTACAGAAAAACAGAGCTCTCTCTTTCAGGTAAATGGGCAGCTTCAGAATTTTAAATAAATTAAATAAAAATACAGCAATCTTTTTGATCTCGGAGTTTTGTAAGGTTAGTCTCTGTTTTGTTTTGGCCAGTATGTTCTTGTTACTGTCATATTCTATGTTGCACATCATTCATTTTGCAGGTGATAACATCAAGTAAGTTATGATTTAGCAAGCTGTGATACCGTAAATACTGAATGCTGCATCTCTTCCATATCAACAGTGACCAAATATACTGCAGTCTTGGGTTTTTCCAGGAGCACTGTGAAAAGTCACGCAGCTTTCAGTTGCCATACTTGGTCTCGGGGTATTGTGTGTAATTGCTAGCTATTGAGTGTAATATTTTGGGTTTAATAATTATTTTTTCTTACAAAATTAGTCATAATTTTCTCTGTGCGGATACGCGTTCCTTTGTATGCCAGTTGCTAAGAGTGCTAAAGGTGCTTAAAATGTCACTTATTTTCTCACAGCAGGTTTTTGAAGTATTTGTATATTGCTAGATTAGTCAGTCATCTTGTACCCTAACTGCTATTCATTAGATATTTTTTTTTTTAATTTGCTATGTATTATTTTGGAAAAAAAGGTGTTGTGCCTGAATACCTTAAAGAAAACCTCACACCCCTTAATTTTGGTGATTGTGACCCTAAAAATCAGATTGGTATCTTTAAAAAATTCAGGAGATGTCAAGAGACTGTGTCTCTCTCAGGAGTACATTTTTCTGTTCTACAGAAAAAAGCATCATGTGCAATTATAAAATGTCCCATGCTGGGCAACTACTGACTTTGTTAACAACTTAATTCTCTGTAGCATCTTCGACACTTGAATGTCTTTGAATGCCCTATTTGGGGATGAGCGAGCATCTAAGCCCCTTTTAACTTCTTTTGTTGTGGGCAGACTGTCCACGAGACTTGTGTTCTACTGGAGTCTGACTCGTATTGAACTGGAGTCTGGAAGTTACTTATCCAAACGATAAATCATTCACCTTTTCAGTGTAAAAGCTGCTTTTCTATAGCAATTTCTTAAAAAGCTGAATGAAAGAGTACAGAGTACTTCCGCTCGCTCCAAGAATCCTCCTACACATGAAGAGGCTAAACCAGTCATTTTGGCAATGAAGGGCCACATCTGTCACTAACACTGATTTCTAATTTTGTGGGAGAGGTCAGAGGAAAGATGAATTTAATATAACAAATAGCCATCATTATTTTTATTCTTTTAATTAAAGCAACATGACTTTGAATCTGTGTGAAAGAGTTTTTGAGAGGATTAGTCATTGAAATTGTTCAGGATCGGTTGCTTGCAAATGGTTGCTTACAGATGATCTGACTTTCCAGTGGAAAGGGAATGAATCAAAAGAAGATCCAGAGTCACAAAAATTTTACTTCTGTTTTCACTGGGAATGGAACTTCCCTGTTATAAATGAAAATGATTGTCTGATTCACAGGTAAATGTACAGATAGTGTGGAGACTAGACTCCTTTGCCCAAGTGGCCAAGAAGGCCAATGGCATCCTGACCTGTATTGGGAATAGTGGAAGGAGTAGGACCAGGGAACTTCTCTTCCCCCTGCACTGGGCACTGGTGAGGCTGCAGCTCGAGTGCTGGGTTCAGTGTTGGGCCCCTGAGTCCAAGAAGGACATGGAGGTGCTGGAGCGTGTCCAGAGAAGGGAACGGAGCTGGGGAAGGGTCTGGAGCACAAGTGTGCTGAGTTCCCTTGTGGCTGAGGGAACTGGGGGTGTTGAGCCTGGAGAAAAGGAGGCTGAGGGGAGACCTTGTGGCTCTGTGCAAGTCCCTTGGAGGAGGGTGGAGAGAGGTGGGGGTGGGTCTGTTCAACCAAGGCCCAAGGGACAGGACAAGAGGAGATGGGCTCCAGTTGTGCCCAGGGCAGTTGAGATGGGATGTGAGGAAGAATTTCTTTGCTGCAAGGGTTCTGAGGCATTGGCAGGGGTTGCCCAGGGCAGTGGTGGAGTCCCCATCCCTGGAGGGATTGAAGAGTCATGTAGACACAGTGCTGAGGGACATGGGTTAGTCGGGGACTGGTCAGTGTTGGGTTCATGATTGGAATGGATGATCTTCAAGGTCTTTTCCAATCGAGGCCATTCTGGGATTCTGTGGGACATAAGATACTCCTCCTTTGAAGGTAAAAGTGAAATGAGGCAAGTACCAGTCTATACATTATAAGCCAGTATGCATAAATAAAACATGGCAAGTATCCTGTTATATTTTCAGATGAACAATCCATGTTGGTGCTGATGTGACCTATGACTTTGTGTATATTTGAAAAAGAAAATTATGCCAGCATTAGTTGCTGTATGGAAAGGGAATTACTGACGTCTGACATAATACAATTTCAATAATTATATACTTGAGTAGAAATAGAACAATAGCTTGAGAGAAGAGAAAAATCCTCACTGGAACAAGTCTCATTCACTGCAATTATTGCTGCAAGTTTGCCTTAAAAAAAGGCAACTAAGGAAACTCTCCTCCGTCTCATTTTGCATAGCTGTGAGCACACCAAGTAGATTGAGACTGCTTAGGAGTGGCTTTACAGACTGACACAGCCACAGCTTTTATCCAAACAGTATTAGGTACAGTTCTTCCAACACATTTAAGTATTGTTTATGAGACTTTAATACATAAAATAAAAATGGGGATGAAAGCAACACTAATTATCGTTTAGGACACCTAAAGCTCTGCAATCTGGAAGGAATTTTTACATGCAGCAGATTGCCAAAAAAAAAAAGGGGGGGGGGGGACGACTAAAAATGAAGGAATGAGCCTGTTTTCCTGTAGGTTGCCATGAATTAGCCACATGAAATATTCCTACTGCTGAAAAAAAAAAATTGGAAGATAAGAATTTGAAACCACTTTTAAAACCAACATTAATCTCTTTATAACATCTTCGCTGTAGACCAAAGGCTTTAAGTGCTGCCATGCCTGCAGACAGCCACTCCAGTGAAATTGAATTGGCACAAATAGATCTGCACATGCTCATGCAAAATTGATCAAAGCAGATTCTGACAACAAATGCAGCAAAAGGTTTGTTCTGTGATTATTTATCTTTTGCTATTGCCTCTTTTATTACAATGCGGCATAGAGAGAAAGGAAATTCTAAAAAGTCTTGACAGGAATAGAAAGGTATCTGGACAGTGTCTGTTGTTGGAAAAATCATCTGAAAGGAACACGCTAAATCCATCAGCAGCACTAAGAAAATGAAAGCAATAGTCTTTTCCACAATTGACACATTACAAGTCCAAGTTTAAATTGGCTTCTGCTGCAGCTCCATATGGTGTAAGAACTGTGATCTCCCACATAGAAAGGAAGAGACCAGTTACCAAAAAAAATAAATAAAAAAAATTTTTTAAAAAAAGAAGGAAAAAAGCAAAAGATGAAGAATAATACACGGAAGCATTCAGTCTGGTCTGGTGCCAGCCCTCTTCTATGAAGTATTCCTTATGTGGACAGTGAGTAACATGTGCTTAAGAAGCAATAAAAAAGCATTAATCTGCAGTGGGCTTTTAAGCATATGCTTAGTGTAAGGCATGAGCCATCCTGATTATAGATACATGCATGCTTAAGTGTTTATGTTAATCAGAATTATGGTTTTAAAAGTGCTTACAATAACCTTGACACAAATTTATCTTTTCTTCAGAAGGCCCCTTACCTTGCAGCCCATTTTTTCTCATTTCTTGGAGCGTTTTCCATCAAGAATGTATTTTGTACGTTGTGTTACATCTTCTGAATCTCTGCGTGGTACCTGGTATCTTTGTGAGCATCACACCATTACCTCTCAGTTGTCCTGACTGCAGTTTCAGCATGACATTGTAAACATGCACAGGGTGAATGCAATAGGTACATTAAACATGTTTTGAAAAGTAATTTAAGATTCTGTAGGTAAACATCAATTAAAAAATTCTGAATTAAACTTGAAAGACAAAGCAACGTTAGCATTGTAGCTTTATTTTATAGTAACTGTCTTGAAAGTTCCCGAACCATTCTTAAATTAAATGTTGTCAATTTTAAGTAATGCCACTTAAAACAAGTTTGAGGCCCACAGCAGGCACTGGGTGCTGATGTTCTAGAGGAACACTTCATGCACATGGGATTCTGCGCGCGTAGCAAGCAACGGAGGGTGCCAGTTTGCATTGCAGGAGATGCAATGCATTCCTTACTTCATGGTGTTAGGTGAATTTGCCAGCTCTCATTTCATCTAGCTGCCAGCAGCCACACAGAATATCAAACAGATATTCTCAGTGAGCGTTTGTGCTTCAGAGAAGGAATACTATGTGCTGCGATGATTATTTTGCACATTTTTTCATTGTTCTTGCTTCGTTGCTGCACAACTGACGGTAGACTCCTACTCTGTTATTAGTGACTCAGAGATTTAAGTGTCAACCTGATATAAAGCTGGAGATAATTCAGTAGAGGCTGGATGAACAAGCAACTCAGGTGAGATTCTGTATTTTTTTAGGGAAAAAGTCGATCAACAGCATTTTGGAAGGGCTGCTATGTCTTGTAAGAAATTACTCCAAGCTAAAAGATCAACCCAAAAGCTCCTATGTCCCTACAGAACATTTTCAGTGCTTTCAGCAAAAGTATGGTGCTATAGGAATTGCACTGGTAATGCCAAGATCAGTGTCCCATTTTCTGCTGGTTGTCAGTTGTCCCAGTGGCTGAAGGTGATCTGAACTAAATCTAAAAGGAAAATGTGCCTTTATGGGTTTTTTTTTTTTAAAAACCACGCTGTTTATGTAGAAGTTTGTTAAATGGCAGAAGCTTTGGGCACGAACTGTTAGGAAAAATACATTTTGATGCTTGCATACAGAAACAAATGCTGTGCACTGAGAGAACGGTACATATATTTTCCATTCTTCTGACACCAATACTTTAAGTTTTGCAGTAACCTGTAGATATTGGCTGTGTCACCAGTAGATGGCAATATTGTTTAGTCCATATAGAATCATAGAATGGTTTGGATTGGAAGGGTCCTTAAAGATCATCCAGTTCCAACCCCTCTGCCAGCAGCAGGGACACCTTCCACTAGACCAGGTTGCTCAAAGCCTCATCCAACCTGGCCTTGAACACTTCCAGGGAGGGGGCATCCACAACTTCCTTGGGCAACCTGTTCCAGTGTCTGACCACCCTCACAGTGAAGAACTTCTTCCTAATATCTCATCTAAACCTCCCCTCTTTCAGCTTAAACCCATTTCCCCTTGTTTTGTCATTAACTGCCCTTATGAAAAGTCCTTCCCCAGCTTTCTTGTAGGCCCCTTCAGGTATTGTCCTACCAAAAAGCTGTTTCTATCCAGTGAAAACAATTTTTCATGTCTTTTAAACCACAGTGTTATACGTGTTTGACAGCAGGAACTGTATATTATTAAGAGCCCAGTTTGTCTCGGGTTTTGTTTATTTGCCTTGGACTCTAGAGAGAAATGTCTTTTTATTTTGAAGGACGTGTCACCCAGGTCTTTGACATAGTAGAGTCAGATGTATTAGTTCATCTCTTCCAGCTGCTCTTTTTGCCTTGGACTCTAGAGAGAAATGTCTTTTGATTTTGAAGGACGTGTCGCCCAGGTCTTTGACATAGTAGATTCAGATGTAATAGTGGGACAGTTCATCTCTTCCAGCTGCTCACCACCATCCCTTTGCTGGAGGTTCCTGCCCTTGGAACACAGGTTGTATATGCATTCTTTAAATCACATTAGGAAGAATCATCTGGTTTAAGTAAACCCTGCCAGTTCTGCTTGAGGTAAATTAAAGAGAAGTTACTTCAGCTGTATGGATGAGAAGAGTATAAAAATGTTGTGATAAGTGTCTGGAGGTAATCAGTCTTCCACAGGGAGGAGAGCAGTCTTCTCACAGGACAACATCTATTCACAGTCTGAAGGTCTTGCTCCACAGAGGGATGTCACTTTGGACTTACATTGGTTTTCTTCTAGAATTGTTTTTCAAGCAGAGGAGCAGAAACATATGCATTACCTTACTGTTTGAAGTTAACCTACAATGAGTTAAGAATATCTGAACTCACTCAGGAGCTTGTAACACAGCCCTGATGATTGCTGTTGTGATTACATGTCATAGAGTAGGACTGTTTCTCTTTGTATTGTAGTCTAACTAATATTGTTCAGAATGTCTTGGGTTGAACAATCATAACTAGGAGTGAGACAAGCTACAAAATTAGGACTGTTCATTAATATTAAACTGTGTTGGTTTGCATACCTAGGAGATAAACCTCAGTTTTATTTTCTTAATTCTGACTTTGCTTCAGAATTGGAATGTAACCCAGGACACAGAGTGAAGTGATTCAGTAGTCCTTCACCTTTATACGGCAGCAATAAATCATGCACCTGTCCAAAAGAGAAGAGCTTTGGTGAGCTCCTGTCAATTCCTCTGTATGTTCTGTTCTTTGAAAAAGAACTTTGAAAAAAAATTGGATACTTGAATAGTGAGGAGATGGCTGATGAGGATTAAGATTTATTACTAGAATTACCTGGAGAGAGCTCTAGTGTCTGCAAACTGAGTGAATAAACTTTCCATTTTGTTGTATGTTATATCTGATTTTATTTGCTAGTCCTGAATGTTTTACAGTTTCAGGTGCATTGTGAAATTTAAAAGTAAAATTATTTGACATCTATCTTTGCAGGTTGGCATGGATATGATACTGAGGCAACTTGCAGAACTCCTGCAGCATCTAGATTTTCCTTCTCTTTGAGGGCCTTTTTGATTTTGTCAACTGGGTGTTGGGTAGGAATCGTTAGGAATGGTTATTTCTGACAGTGCCACCAGCTCACTCTGGCTCTTTAGATAAATCACCTAATCTCTGTTTTCTTTCCCCTCTGCTTAAGTGAAATAAGAAGGAAAAAAAAATTTATAAAGTAATTTGAAAGTTAAGATTGGAAAGTACTTTCTAGTATTAGGTACAAAAATCAGTGACATCTGCAGGTAAATATATTCTCAAAGATTTAACTTCACAACTTACTGTCCCTATGTAGAATACTTCACAGCTGTGTTCTCTAAGAGTGCTGATATTTAATAGTAGTCTGATTGCTGTAATAAAATGTTCTTTTATTAAGATCACTTGCCTATCAGATAGATTTAATCACACTTGAATCCGTTGCTGCAATGTCAAATTGGATGGAAGACCTTTTAATCTGGAAATAGATGGTATAGGTAGTCCTGAGCTGAAGTTTCACATAACTATATTGATCTCCAGCAGTCTCTGTACCTGTTGCCAATCAGTCTGCAGTTTGCATCATCTTTATTCCCATAAAATTAAGTAGAGAGCTTTAATTGATGACTTTATTTTTTATATGGACAGGTAATTTCACCTCAACGTATTCCTGCCACTGTGACTCCTACCTTGTTGATGTCCCCAATGGTGTTCACGCAGTCCACACCTGCTCTGCCAAAAGCAAATGAAAGTGGGAGGTTAACAGCAGCAAACCAAGAACTTGCTGCTAGCTCAGCTAACCTTCTTCTACCACTGCAAACCCCAGAGCCACCCGTGGTCAACAGCAGCTCGATGACGAAGATGCAGCTGCAGGAAACACTTCTACACCTGATCCAGGTAAAGTGCCAAGAATTATCTTCTGATTAAAATCCTGGTTTCCACTTTGATATAAACACCCTATAATTGGTTGCATCTAGAGGCTAAATGAGTAATTAAAATAAATGAGGGAAGTTGTGCTACTTACAGCTGCATGTTAGAGGAGCACCGTGGCATAGAGCATGGATGTGATAGCCTCTCCTTGCACGCTGCTAGCTTAACTGCATTTTGGTTAATGCATCTGGTTTGGGGTTCAGGAAAGATAATGAATCTGATGGAAAAGAAAAAAGATGACTGAAAGCTTCCTAAGGTTGGCCTGTGAGCCAGAGGGCTATCTAGTCTGTTTTTAGGTAAGGGTAAATAATAGGTGATGATCCTAGCTGCCAGACATTTCAGAGATGCATGTTAGCAGTAAAAGGAATTCAGATGGGAAATTAAAATTGCAGGATGAGTGTAAGCAACTTCAAAGTATGGGTTAGATAACCTAAAAATATACTAGTTCGGTCTATTCATTGTAATTCTGTAGTTCAAACACTAAAATTCCTCTTGTTGCAGTTATTCAGGCTTAACTGTGACAAAGCATTAGCCACATTATGTATGAGGTGATTGTTTACTGCTCCAGGATGATGTGAGTGATGATGAATATTTTTTTTTTTCCCTAACTTGCCATGTGATGAATATCTGAAGAGTAGAGGTTGAGGAGAGGCTTTATAACTAAAGACGTAAATAGAGATGCAGGTTTAAGGGTCTAATTTTGTAGGCCAAAACTATGTGCCTGTATGATTTTGGAATTAAAATAAAAGTCGTCATTGGAATGTCAAAGTTACTCACTTAAAATACTATTTAAATTACAGACCCAGAAAGAAAGTAGTATCTTTTACAAATTAGAAGCTTTTCCCATTTTTCTCTGTGTTTTTTAGTTTGGGATTAAAAAAAAAAAATAAAATTAAACAATCACATTATCCTGTCTTTACAGACTTTGAGGTTCTGGGTAGTAGGAAAACCATATATGAAGTTAAAAAGGAAACTAGTGTCCTGGTTTTTGCTAGGTTAGGGTCAAGGGAAATTGGATTTTACCCTCAGAAACTGTTCTTGTATATTTGACTCTGCTGTTCTTGGTGGTTAGGATTAACTGAATTACCTGGAAATTACTGCCAATTTCTTACCCATTACTTGCCATTATATAAAACTACAATCTCAAATACTCCTGATTTTTCCTCAAATAGTATCTTGATTTTAGTTTTTGTCATAAATTTACGTGAGCTACTTAGGACATTGTTTCTTAATGTGGATTGACTTGTTCTTGCACGATGATCTTTAGAAGGAAAAAGTTAAACCAAGTATCAGAGCAAAAGGAGCAGCATCAGTTTAGGAACATTAAATCTAAGAGCTAAAGAAGATGCAAAGATTTGCCCAGGTAAGATTTAGTATAGGATCAAAACCCAGAGTGTTTCATTGTTCCTCCAGACATGCTTAGAATCATCACTGACCTAACGGAGGAGACTACTTGAGGAAATCCCTAGGTAAATTAAGGCAGAGGGAGGAAATTACAGGTTGTATCATCACTGAGATAATTGTGCATGAATAGGGAACTCAACTCCAATGTGAGTTTGGAAAATCTGCTTTCTGTGTGCTCATTAGTTCTTACAGAAATAGTCGTGTTTGCTGCAATAAAGTTTATATTCACATCCAGTTCTTATAAGACTCTTATCAAGGCTTGGAAATAATACATATTTTTTTGGTCAAAAAAACCTTCATATTGCTTACCTTTTAAAACAGAATAAGGTTGAAAAGTATTTCATCCATGAAATGGGAAAAACTTCTCATCTCTTTAGTCGAGAACGCCTGTCGTTCACTAACAATTACCTGTTTTGTTTTTCAGAATGATGACAACTTCTTAAATATTATTTATGAAGCATATCTCTTCAGTGTGAGGAAGGCAGCAATGAAAAAGTCTATGTGAAAGATGATTTAAAAATTCAATTTCTCTTGCTTCCTGAACTGCAGGAAAAAGGTTTCTGATTTTTTTCAAGTACGTTTGAAGAAATGAATGGTCTTAGGCATTTTGGGTACATACAGGTTTTGCTTGTTGGCAAGTACTGAGGAAGAAGAGGGGCAGAAACGGGTTGTGCCTTTAGGGAGGGGGAGCATCACCATACTGAAGACTTAATCACAAAATATCTTAAATTATTTTTCTTATATTGGTCCATACTTGGATTTGGTTTCCCTGCCTAAGGACTCAGTTCTCGGAATTCAGTTTCCTTTTTTACTTGCCGTGTTGTTTTTCCTTGACTGAAGGTTTATTTGCCATGGATTTCCTCTGAGAGATGTCATCTGCAAGTGTCCCGCTGAACGTGCCCATCGAGCCACATGGTGGCAATGTTGGACTATTTTTTGGGGTGAAATCTTAGAAGGGGAAAGTCTTGGGAAGACTGATCTCTATCACGGTATAGTTGTCTGCAAAGCCATTTAGATGAAATGTCATGACTTTCCCCCCAAGTTTTTGTAGCAAAATCTTTTTCTATTTTAACGAGAATATTTTTAGCTAGCTGTAGAAATGGGACTCTTGAGGGGGAGGGTTTGTTTGTGAATGTACTTGATATGAAGATAGCTCTGGGGTGGCACTGGATTCATGTTTCTGTTATTCCTGATCCAGTCTGCATTATTATAAGCAATGTACAACTTTGGTAAGGGAAAGACTACCTGGTGTAAAAGTCCTATTAAATTTTTTTCTAGTGTATTCTGGGAGCACAGTGATCTCATTCATCCATTTCTAAAGAAAATAAAATTAATAATCCCTATTATGTGCTGATTTCATTTTATTGTACCATGGACTATGGATTTACAATTGTTGGGTCACTTGTATTTGTATGACTTTGAAATGTTTTTACACTTGACAAAAGACACATGAGGTTTTAACTCGATTAGAATAAATGACTGAAAGAAGTTTTATGTATTTTTTTTTAGTAGCATCTGCTGCTGAAGTGCCAGTTTACTACAGTTCAGGAACCCAGAGTTGTTGCTGAGGAGGCATTTCTTTTCTGGGTGCCAAGAACACACACCTGTAATCCATAAATGAATATACACTCTTCTTTACTATGGGCATTGGTGTAGGCACAACTCAACTCAGTAGCCTCATCTGTGAAGGTTCCTCAGTGTAAATTTGGATGCAGGTTTTAATTAGTATTACTGTAACAGAACAGTTGTAACTATTCAAACAGTTGCCCTCAGCCCCCATACGTGTGGCCTTTCTCAAGAGTAAGAATGTGACTGGAGGGGGTGCAAGGAGAGGGGATTTGCCTATGTTCCTTCAGAAAGGCTCTAAATCAATATAAAAAAAGAAGTCAAGAGCCTACTTTCTTTATCCACAAGTGAATAACCCCAAGAGACCCATGAACTGCCAGACTTTTCTGACACTAAGTAGCTCGTAGAGAGCAAGTTGTATTCTGGTTCCATTTTGTTACCAAATTGCTTACAATTCTTGCAGATTCAGTGAAAAGAACGTGTTGAAGCAGATACCACTACGAGCAGACTTTAAAGATAGCAAGTCTTAATTCTAATCCTGTAGCCGTTATAATTTATGTATCCATCATAATTTATAGGATTCCAATGAATTAATTGGTATTATTTCTGAACAAACTGGTGTGGAAGGAATTGGAATCTCCACAAAAGAGTTTGTATGAGACCAAATACATGTGTAATCGGTGTCTGTGATGCTGGATTATCTGAGTGTGCAGTTTAAAGATGATGGGGACACGTAGTTAAAACCTAATTTGACATGTAGAACTTTGGTAATTGGTGGGTAAAAATAATCCCTTAGCATCTCAAGCTGTGTTTTTGTGATAGGTTGTCTAGTCATGGGGGGAATATTTTTATTTACTAAAAAGGCAAGTAGAAATTTTAAAAACATCCTTATTTATTGCTTTTCAAAGTCAGGTATCATTTACAAAAGTCAAAGGCATATTTTTTTTAAAACATCTGTTAACTCATGGTGCTTATGACAGCAGTAGTATTGGTACTATGCTTGACAAGCTGAGGCTTATCTTAAAGCAGACAAGGATGGAGCTAATTGAGGGTTTCTTCTCACTGTCCTTCCTTCTGGTTACGTCTATACCAAGTAACACTGACAGAGTTGAATCTCTCTCACTGTATTCTGAATTATTATGTATTATTAGCGAAGAAAAGAAGGGTAGTTGCTAAAGAAGGGAGTGCTGCTTCAGTTGACTTGCATGCTTACTAAGAACAGCTGAGGTAAGAAGGTAGAACAGGCTCAGAAAGAAACTCTCTGAATTTTATGACAATGAAGAGAAGAGGGAAAGTAGTGAGAGAATTCTGTTGAGAGGTGAAGCTGAACTTCTTGTTTAGGTTTCCATTGCAGAGGGCAGGATCTGCTTCTTCAGAGGTATTTGGGAGTAGGAGGCTGAGCTTGGAGTCATACTGGAGTGTAAAACTGTGCTCTGCCCCTTTGTCTTTTCTTTCCTCTGCAGAGTGAAGTATCTGTCTCAAAAAAGGCTTTTTCCAGAAATGTAGTCAGAGCCTTCCAGTGCCATGGAAAAGCTGGAGGATCCTCATCTAATCCTGAAAACTTTGTCTGCCTTTTGGTATCGTGTTTTGTTTAATAACCTTTTTATCAGCTGCAACTGTCTCTTTATGCAGCCAGATCTGTGCATGACACCAAACCTTTATTTCAGGTTTTGTACATCACCTCTGAATTAAAGTGGTCTGAACAGTCTAGTTCCTGTATTTTATTTTATTATTTTTTTTAAGACACCGTTAGAACTAGCGAGCTAGTAAGTCCTTTGGAGAGGAAAAGGCCACAGCAGTTCAGATTGCCTTTCTGTGGGTTTGTGGGGTTGTTTTAAATCTGAAAAATGAAAAAAGGTAGCAAGCAGAAAACTAAAAAGTGTGTAAGGATCACATTAACTCTGCTTTAGATGCTTCCACAGTACGCATGTGCAGTATTTTTTTTAATTGTCTGTGTGTTCCTTGACATATTACTAAGTTTTTGGCTGCTGTTTTTTTGGTTTTTTGGTTTGTTGGGGTTTTTTTTTATTCTGTCAGTAGAATAAATACATTGTAAATTGGGGTTTAGCAAGAAGTCCAGAAGTTGCAGCAGTGCTTTGTGCATTAATCCCTGTCTCAGCATTGAACTGATACTAGTTTTCAGTGTATTTCCACTTAACCACTGCCCACTTCCTTACAGAATTCCACACCTATTAAACTAGAATGAGAAGATGAGTGGAGAGTCAGTGAAATACTGAAGCATAATCTCTGTCAGTGTTTAGCGTGGAAATCCCTAATATTCAGTGAAGGCATCCAAATCTTTCCTCAGGCCCTTCTCACAGAAAACTCAAATTCTCAGTTTGATTTTTATTAATTAGCTCTCTGTTGCTCATTTATTTACTCCTCCTTCTTGTAGCTGCAAAGGGGATAATTAATATTGTACAGCAAAATCCAATTTTCCAGGAGCAGGATGCAGCTGAATGGGCAGGATACTTTGTCTCCTCTGACAGCCTATATAGAACCTGTTGAGCTTTGAATTTCAGTCATGAAAGCAACGACTATTGTAGATGTCTTTGTCCCTTTGGGATATGAAAATCATGGTTTAATATTTTAGCAAAGTTGGAGATCTTTCCTGAGGAAAAGACAAAATTAAAAGACATTTTTCAGTAAGCGTTTGAAGGTCTAATATAGAAAATATTATGAGATGGCAGCTTTTACCCAGAGAGATTCCTGAAACCTAAAAAAAAGACAAGATTCTAGTCCTGGAGGTGAATGATGCACTAAAAAAATTAATCCTCAGTCTACCTACAGTAAACATTACTGCTAATCCTGTGGATTTTTAAGAGACTCTTACAAGTCCTTGCCTTTTCCAAACCACTACGGATATCTTTAACAAGCTTGTTCTGGCTTCTAGATATAAATCCGTGCACAGCTGAGTCGGGAATTTAGGAGGAGAGAACTTGGCATATACAAACAGGAGGAGGAAAATGAGGTTCTGCAAGACACTGAAGAAACAAAGGCTGGAGCTTTATAAACACTGTAAGCTGGTTCTGCTGCTGAAGAGACAACCCATCCCAGCCACTCTTAGCTGCTCATCCCTGCTCCCACACTAGTCTTTCCTTCCTTTTTGCTTTTTTTTGTTTTTTTTTTTCCCATTTTTTTATTGTAATTAAGACAGCTCTATGGTAAAATGTGTTGCAGCAGAATTAGTCCAGGTTGAAGCTGGTTTTAACCTGTATCAGCTCAGTGAGCAGCAGCCCAGGCACCTCTGTTGGTGTGTGGACAGGGGAGTGCAGCTGTGAGGATAAATGGGTGGGATGTGGGGAGATGAAAGTGGGGCAGGGGACTTGAGCTGCAGTACTGGCTTAATCTGGCTTGCAGCTTTCGTCAAACTGTGATCTAAAGGCTTTTGCCTCTTTGCTGACTTTACAACCCAGAAGATGCCACAAAGATAGCGATTTTTTTTTTACATGGGCAGATAGACAAGGGGAAATGGTTTTAAATTAAGAGAAGGAAGATTTAGGTGAGATATTAGGGTGAAATTTTTCACCCAGAGAGTGGTGAGACAGTGTCCCAGGTTGTCCAGAGAAGCTGTGGCTGCTCCTCCCTGGAAGTGTTTGTGGTCAGGTTGGATGAGGCTTTGAGCAACCTGGTCTAGTGGAAGGTGTCCCTGCTGCTGGCAGGGGGGTTGGAACTGGATGAGCTTTAAGGTCCCTTCCAACCCAAACCATTCTATGAACACCTTTACTTTGTAGCTGTCACAGGAAGAATTTGAGTTGCAAGTAATCTCCATGCTGCTTCTTTTTAAAAGATGAGCAACAGCGTGAAAACTTCCAAAGAATTAATTTAGAATAAATATCTGGTCTACACAATAGGAAGTTACTACAGACTTTTTTCAGTAGCAGCTTCAGTCATACGTGTAATAAAAAAACCCACATTTTTTTTTTTTAAACCATTTGG